GAGGGCCCGGCCCGCAGGCCCCTGGCCCGGCCCTTCGGGCGTCTTGCCTCCCAGGGAGCTTTGGCATCGAGCTTTGGGCCTTGGGTCCTGGAAGCCGGGACTGGCCGTCACTGAGAGGTTGAGTCTGGTTCCCGCTTTTGGAGAGGGGGAGTTGGTGCTCCATCCATCCTTCTCCTGCCGCGCGCTTTTGTGCTCGGGACCCAAACTGTCGACGCCTTTTGCTTAGTTTGAAAGAAGGAGGCTAGAATCTGGCCTTCTGATAATACGTGTAATTTACTGAACCACTTGTCGATACGTGCGTGTTAATGGTGCTAAATAACCGATCACCTGACACAGAGAGGGGGCGGGGAGGAGGGAGAAAGGGAGAGAATGAATGTTGGTACCGCGCACAGTCCAGTGTCCATTCTTCCCCCAAAGCAATGTATTGGCAGTTCCAATGGCCCTTTCCCATTCTGTGGTTTTTAAATGCCATTTCCTAGAGACTTGTGATTCGAGGTAATTTGAGTGTGTGATTTTGGGTGCTATTCAGGAACGATTCTCAGAATTCGATCATAGATAGTCATTAATATAAGTGGCAACAACGCTTTAATATCTACCTGGACCTAATCTTCCATTACGTAAAGAAATAATTTAAAATGAAACATAGGTAATCTAGCTTTGCCTAGAGAACTTTACCACCTTATTTTAAGCTAAAAGGAAAGATACAGTAAACTAAGAGAGTACTTAAGTAGTACATTGTTCTATTTAGTTACTATTTGGAGATCGAACTTGTCTTCATTTTCCAAACTGATTGTTCGAGGTCTTCCAAAACTACTACGCCTCACTCATTCATTTACCATTTTTTGATTCTTTGATTGTGAAAATGTTTGATTCTTTTGATTTTTTTGATTGTGAAAAATGTTTGTAGGTGGGTTTTTGTGGTAAGAAAGAGATATAAGCCAAAGAACTGAGAAATCTTTACATCATTCTTTTATTTTTGAATTTATAGTTTCATTCCAGAGCACAAAAGGTGTGTAACGATAATTACTTAAAATAGTAATTTGAAACATTCATTGCCACGTAGATCTTTTCTTTATTATTTTTTCTCCCCATTTGTTCTGTTTACTGGCCATATGTTATGATAATGCATTTTTTCCCTCCACCACAGTCATCATAATCATCACTGTTACTGTTTTTAAGTACTCCATTTCCCCTTGATAGTAACAGAATTTAAGGGAGAATGTGCTATCCTTGCTCTGATTAAGCCACACACAGTTCAGTCGATTCCTTTGCAACAGAAAGACTTCTGTTCAACTGAAGTGGGCCGCTTTTTAAGTGTGCGGAATTCCAACCTTAGATTTTAAGCTTTATCTGATAGCTGTTCTGGTGATTTGTCAAAAGAGTAACAAATGAGTTAGTAATGGGACCAGTTGGTGATTTGTCAAAAGAGTAACAAATGAGTTAGTGATGGGACCAGTTTTCCCATTCTTTGCATGCTTTATAGGTCCAATTATTGAAGAGCATGAGAATGTAATTTCTTGTACTACTTTTGCATCCTTTGGGAGGATAGTGAACTTCATTACCTATCACGCTGAATGAGTTATGCCTTCCATGCCGTTGAGATAGACCTCAGGTAACTTTATCTCGCTGATTCTGTGATATCACTCACCTGTTGCGTATTCAGAGACGTCAAATCTAAGAGAAATGGTCTGTGTAAATGTAGGTGAAAAATAGCTTTGGTCAAATGCAAATTTTAAGATAGAAAAATTGAAAGGAAATTGTTTTTATGTTACTCATTTAGAATCATTACTAAAATTTAATTTGTATTTAGTATTGGAATCAGGAAAGGTAGCTAATCCTTGACTTATGTAATAGCTTGTTAATAAAACTATTAAAGTTGGAAGGCAACAAGTGACAATATGGATTAATGCAAAATTATCTTTAAGAGTTCAGATTTTTAAGTAGGATGGATTATACTTGAAAAACTACTGGATTTCATTAACCAGTCACCATTAAAAAAATTTAAAAAAGAAAAGGAAAAAGCTGGTGAATGTAAATTATGCAGAGTTTTGTTGGGGGATAGGGGGAGGACTAAATATAGATAATGGTTATCTTCCTTGACGTGATAATATAGTGTTTGTGTTTTTGGTACATTTTGCTTTCTTAAATACGCACTTTTTTTTTTTCTTTAGTAAGATTTCTCAAATTCTTTTTACATAATTTTTGTCCGGAGATAAGATCTTTTCTATTTATTTATATGAGATAGAGTTATATTTATTGGCATCTTAGGTTTGGGGATAACTCATAACTACTTCACTATGCAGTGTCAGGGAGTTCAAGGTTCCTGGAGTGCTGATTTCTTAATATTTTCATTCATCTGCATTTCAAGAATTCTATCTGACATGTGGCTGCTGGATTTCTTTCTTTGGGCACTGTTTCTCTCATTTCTTCTTGGAGCACCCTCAGAATCCTGGAGTATCTTTTCAAAAGTGAAGATATCTTTTTTAACTACAAAAACGGCTTGGCAAATTGTTACACATTTATGATACTGTTCCATTTTTTCAGAATCCTGGAGTATCTTTTCAAAAGTGAAGATATCTTTTTTAACTACAAAAACGGCTTGGCAAATTGTTACACATTTATGATACTGTTCCATTTTTGATAATAGTAAAAAAAAATTCTTTAATTGTTGCCCTTTGATTACAAAGGGAAAAATATTGAGAGTATTGATTTCATTCAAAATATTTGAGACCCAGGAACATAATCTAGGAAGAGAAACAAGATTCAAAGACTGGGATGTTAAATCATTGTATTAGACTTAAAAGTGGAGGATATTTCAAGAGCTACAAAAGGCATTGGTGAGAAATTGCTGAATGTGTAGACTGGACAGTTACTGCCATGCATTATGTATTTAATTTAGATCATTTAATGGTCAGGGATTTAAATTTTTATGATCATTTGTACAATGAAGAGGGAATGAAGAGAAATAGTTAAGTAAAAACTTCAAAATATTATCCAGAAGTTTTAATCTCTTGGCACATTCTAACTTTAGTTTTAAATGGCATAGTAGATTGTACAGAAAGGCTAAATTTAATAGTTTTAATTCATTTATAATTTGTGTGAGCTGGCCACATGAAAAGTTTGTAGCTGATAATTTCTAAAATGATGTTTACATACATTGAGGATGGCCATTTTTTATGTGTAGGGAGTGGCTAAGTAGGTATTTCCTAATTTATTTTGAAAGAAGGGTATGCCACTTTGTTTCCAGTGTTTTTAAAAGATTAATGGTATATTAAGAATATAAAAATTAATATGTGTTATGCAAGTAGAGTGCATAAAGAAAGTATAGTAGTATAAAAGTAAACTCAGTAATCAGTGCCTGGGTTCTGATTTGGGTATACTGGGTATATGACCTTAGGCACATTAAATAATAGTCTGGGAGTTGGTTTGCTCATTCGTAAAGTAGAAATAATAATTGCACCTACCTCACAGGGTTGTTGTGAGGAACTAATGAGATAATGCACACAATACACTTACTATAGGGCCTGGCATATAGTACATGCTAAATACATGTTAGCTTGGGCTGTTACTACCTAGGCCACAGTTTTAATGATGAGCTACTTCCACTATTTCTGTGGTTGGTCTAAACTGCTAATGCTTCTCATAATGGCAATAGGATATAGTTATAAACTTTGAAGTTAACTTTTTCTTACTGTTGTTGGCTAGTATAATTCTGCTTTTGCCATTTTCAACTTGTACTTTACAGTTCTTTTTCTAGGTTCTTAGGTCTGCTTTGGTCTTAGTAATACCAACACCTTGGATTCTTATATATGTTCTTTTTACTTGATAAATTCAGAAAAGAAGTTATAATTTTTGCTTTTTCTTATGAAGTCTTGTCAATAGGTTCTAAACAATGAAACTGGACCAGAATTTAAAATGGGTGTGTAGAGCAGGTAATTAGGTTGCATTGCTTTGTAGACTTGTGTCATAACTACATGGCTTTACTATTTAGTGATTTTCCTTGACTCTATCTTGGAAGGATAACCTATTATTCATCTTAAATATTGTCATATCATGGTTAAGAACTTGACCTTTTCGTCAGAGTGGATTTGAGTCCGAGCTCTGTCACTTATTTATTTAGTAATACTGGGTTGCTAAGCTTCGGCCACATTCTCATAAATTGACAGTAGTACCTGCTTAATTGTGTGGTTGTGAAGATTAAATGACATTAAGCATTTAAGTTTAGCACAGTGCCTGGCATGTAATAAACATTCATTGAATTTAACTTTATAAAGAGATAATATAGGGTAGTGGTAAGTGCACTGACTCTTGAATGAAATTTCTGTGTTCACATTTCATCTTCACCACTTACTATATCAAGTAATTCAATCTCTGATCCTAATTTCATTTTTTCATATTATTGGGGCTATAGCATTGTTGCAAGGATTACATTAATAAATATAGAGCAGAGTTTCTTAATTTCAGCACTATTTTTTGTCTGGATAATTCTTTGTTATGGAGCTTTCTTAGTGCATTGAGGTATATTTACTAGATGTCAGTAGCATGCCCTCTAATTGTGATGATGAAAAATGTCTCCATACATGGCCAAATGCGTTCTGGAGGGGCATAATCACTTCTGACTGAAAACTACTGTTATAAAGAGTGTAGAATAGTGAGCGGCATGAAATTAGAGAACATTAAGTTTTACGTTTTATCATCATTGGTAGTGGTGGTACTTTTACTACCACCACCACCACCACCGCCGCAGCCGCCGCCGCCGCCACCACCATTACCACCACTACTACTACTACTACAACTACGACTACTACTACTACTACTATTACTACTACCTGTTATAAATTTGTTCCTTGTAAGCATGCCTGATTAATTGATGGCTAAATTTTAAACTATGATGTAGGAGCTGGAAGCCACCAAATTGTTGTTCCATTCCCAGGGCTTTTGCATTTAGATCTTTGCCTGGGTTGCTCTTCCTCATTTATACATGGATCACTTCATTTCAAGTTACAGCTTACATGTTGCCCTATTAGCAAGGCTTTCATTTTCCATCATACACAGAATGCCCTCCTCATCTCCCCATCATTATCACTGTTTAGTTTTTCTTAATTTTATAATCTCCTAATACATATTTGTCCACTCCCCCAAATCCCCCCCCCCCACAAGAATATAGACTATATGAGACAGTTTAATCATAGGATAACCTAATAGGGCCTTTAACAGCTTTAGTGATTTAGTTTTAGGCTTAAATGTACTATTTTGAAGGAAATAATATTATAAAATACAGTTTTATTTTGAAGATGTTTTGAAAAGTTGAGCTGCTCAATTTAAATGTACTCTTAATTTAAAAGAGATCTTTATAGAAGTGTAATTTTTTCGTTGTTGGTGCTTTCTAAATCTTATCTTTTTGCATTCTTGCCTACATGAAACTGTATGCTAGTTTTATCAGTGTAAACTAAATTTGGCTGCAGTATAATTTTCTGAGGGTTCAGATGAAACAAGCATTTTAAAGTGGGAATTATCTTCAGACTCAGATTAAATTTTATTCAGAATGTTAGTACTAATACCTGCTTTTAATTGTACTCTGAGTATATCTAAATGGTCCATTAGGATCAAACTTTGCCATTAATAATTAGCACATGCTGTTCCCTCCAGACTTTTAGGATCCAGCTTACTCCATCAACTGTTTAGCCTTTCTTGGCCTCATGATTTTCACCTTCCTCTGTGATACTATCTGCAGCCCTTCAGTATGACACTTTCTTATTTTATTGTGATGTTTACATGTTGTATTTGTTGACATGTCTGTACTCTGTTTTGGACTGCGAGTTCCTCGAGTTTGAGACTGGTTTGTTTCACTGGTCCCAATGATAATACTTTATGGTAGATGCTTAATAAATATATGAATAAATGAGTAATTTTGAATTAAGCAGATTATCTGATTTTCTGACTTAGCTGGATACATTCTATTGTTTGTAAGTATGAAATGTGACTTGTGAACCCAGAAATAATTTCCAATTTTAGCATATATGTACTCCTAGTTTATTAGTATTGATTTAATTGGAGAGATACATGTCATTAGCCAGTTAAAATACACCCTAGATAAATTTTTGTTTTGCTTTTTAAATTTATAACTTCAAGTGTAAGGAAGCATTTAAGTAAAATTTCAATGTAAGAAATAGGAATTTGTTTAAATCGAGCAGAGATTCTGAATCAACTCAGTTTTTCTTCTTAATTAAATCTGATTAGCTTTTTCTGTTTTCATTACTAGTTATCTCAGATCATTGTATTTTATATTAGGGTTCATTTTTAAAAAAATACTTTATTTTGGAATAGTTTTAGATTTATAGAAAAGTTACATAGTACAGAGTTCCTATATATCCTTTATCCACTTTCGCTGATTGTTTATTCAGATGTAATGCTAGTGCCTTTATCAGAACTAGAGATTAACATTGGTACATTACTATTAACTAAATTTCAGACTTTATTCTGATTTCACCAGTTTTCCGACTACTGTCTTTTTTCTATTCTGTGATCATCCAATCCAGGAGACCATATTGATTAGTTTGTTCATGTTAAGTTAGTATCTCTACAATTGGCTAACGTTTGTTTTTCAATTTAGCATGGAGAGTTTTTATTTTTGATACTGAGCACTTGATATCTGAAACTGATTTTTTAAAATAAATTACCTTATGCCTCCTTTAAATGTTACTTTTATGATAGTCTTGTGGATTGGCTGTATACTATCATTTTGGTATTCTTTTGGAATTACCCCCAGAGCCAGTTGGAACTGCTTATGAAAAATAAGTCTTACTAATTTATAACAGTTTCACAAAATACTAGTCTTGCAATGCGTCCCGTAGAAAATGTCTTCTTTGCACTCATAGGTTTGAGTTGCTTTATACTCTATTCCGTCTTGGAAGATTCCCAGTCTCATTGGTCTATTAAAGGTATTTCTTCACACAGTCATAGTTGCTTAATGTTTGTTGAATAAATTAAAGGTATTATCAAAGAAATGTAACTTTGTTATATTAGTCTTTCTCGACATTTGACCATGGAAGCCTTTTATCTGATGTGCTTTTTTAAAATCTAGTCAATTTTTAGCTCCATAGTTCAGTGTATAAAGGTTCTGAGTTATGGCCATGGGCTGTGGATCCTTGAAACCTGTGTTTGAATCTTGGCTCTGTTTTGTGACTTTGGGAAAGACATTTAAATTATTTAAATGCATTTTGTTCTTAAAACAATTGTAATAATAGAGTCCGCTATTGAGAATAAATGAATTGTAGATAAAATGTTTAACAGCATATAATATATGCTTAGTAAATTGTAGAGTGTCTTTAAATTTCCTCTTTCCTCATTTTTATAGAGGAGAGAATTCAAGGACAATTGGAGGAAATTTTGATAGATTTGAGGCTAATATAATAAACCTTGGAATTTTGCTTAATTAGTGGAATTTTTTTAGCTAACTGAATATTATTAGATTTGTTTTTGTTGACTTCCCCCAAAATACTTTGCTTCAGTTTTCTCTGAAACTAATATTGAAAATAATTCAACTTTTTATAATTGAGGCTCCTCTAGAGTACAAGATGGCCTTGGTAAGCGATATGTAGTATGTAGGTACAGTGCAAATATGAGACTAGCTTGATATCTGTATTGCCCACATAAATCACTAAAATAAATTTAAATCTCTGATACATTGTTTTTTTGTCATTTATCTCATTTTATCTTAAAAGCACCCCCCCCATGTGTGTATGTGCAAATCTATGCCTGTGTGTGTGTGTATGTGTGTGTGTGGTTTTTTGAGTAGATATATTAGGTTTTAGTTAATAGTTTCTTTCCATTTTCCCCCCCCACCGCACAAAAAACTTTCTTTATTATCTTTATTTAAAGGCTTTGTAAATAAAACAAAGCTATTTTACAGTTTTAATAAGTATGAGACAATAAATGATTTGACTTTAGGTCTTTTATATGGACTTACTGTAAAAGCAGTATCTGATTCTTAATTTATGAAGAGATGATGGTTAAAAACATGGGTGTTTATGGTTTAAGCCTTGTATATCTTTGAAATGTGTCAAATTAATGGACTATATATACATAGTTCCTCCCCCTCCCCGAAAATAGTGAATTGAGTAAACATTTAATAGGATTTCTGGTAAAATGATATTCTACATGCATGATGAAGAAACATCATTTAGTAAAGGTTCGTTCTACATGTCCAAATGTATATTCGAAAACAATGAGGATTTTTTTTAAACAATCAAATACCTAAGTATGTTCTTAGACTCAGAACTATTAAAATAATTTGGTTTTAGGTGATTATCAATTGGTAGCTTTATTTCTTATGGTATTTTTTTTGTCTTTCTATAGGGCTGAAAGACACACAGAAGTCTTCATGGATATAGTTGATACATTTAATCATTTAATTCCTACTGAACACTTAGATGATGCCCTATTTCTAGGATCCAACCTGGAGAATGAAGTCTGTGAGGATTTTAGTACAAGTCAAAATGTCTTAGAGGACTCGCTGAAGAACATGCTCAGCGATAAGGATCCTATGCTAGGATCTGCAAGTAACCAGTTCTGTTTGCCTGTTTTGGATAGCAATGATCCCAATTTCCAGATGCCTTGTTCAACAGGTAATTCTTACTTTTTTTTTTTTTTTTTTTAGTCTGCTATTTAAAATAAAAAGAATTTTTAGCAGCATCTTTTTTTTCTTTTTTTTTGACGAGGGTAGTGAATTTAGGGTTCTTTCCTTTGAATTTAGAGCTATTCTAGGCTTTAGAATTAGAATTTAAAATAAATTTTCTTCTGAGGAGTGTGGAATTATCTTCAAGGATATTATGGATATAGAGAGGGCAACCACATATCATCCTAAGTGGGACACTTTTTGAGAATTACAAGGGGTGCTGTTAATAATTTCATTATGGCAACAGGTATAAATTGGGACTCTCCGTAGCAAGTAGCGATTGCTTAGCAAATTGGGACATGATGGCACCCTAGACCTGCTAGAATCAAGGGGAACAGCTGAATTGACCTTTCTTGGTGCCTCTTGCAGCCCTTCAGATTTAGCATATTGCGTGCTTCCATTTCAGATCTTTTGGTATTTTTATATGTAACTGACCAGGGGAAGAACTTTAGACTTGTGCTGTCCAACATAGTAACTACTAGCCACATGTAACTATTAATCACTTGAAATAAATCTGATCCTAATTGAGATGTGTTGTAAAATACATATTAGATTTTAAGGGCTCAATCTATAAAAAACAAAGTAAAATAGTGCATCGAAATTTTTTTAATGTTGATTACATGTTGAGGTGATATTTTTGGTTAAATAAAACATATCAAATTAATTTCACCTCTTTTTACTTTTTTTTTAAAAAGTGCCTACTTGAGAATTTAAAATTACATATGTGGCTTGCATTATATTTCTCGTAGCATTGCTCTAGGATCTGTAGTTGAAGTCAATGAAAGATCGAGGAAAGTAACTTTCTGTAGGGCTAAACTAATTCTTAATAAGAAATTATTTCAGGGATATATTAATATATGGAAAAAATACCTAGATTTTCTTTTATAATGTGAAGAAAATATTACAACAAACTTTGTAGCAATTAATTGATTCTAAGCTAAAATTAGATAAAGGAAAATCAGCTTCATATGGAGAAGTTAGGCTTTCTCTCACAGTTCCTAGAGTAGTTCACAGATTTAGGTGGTGTTGGTCTGTTTTTCAATGACTCTATACTTCTGCAGTACAGTTTTTCAGTATATTTTTTGTTTTCTTTTAACATTTTCTATTTAATATTTTAATATAATAACACTTAAGGTTTGGATTAGGTGGCTTGCTATTCATCCCTAAATTTGTCAGGTTACTCTGCCTGTAGACCTCAATACTGGCTACTAGGAATCGTTTCATATTACCAATGACTTAACTGAGTCTTTTGAATTGCTTGCTAATGGTGTATCTCTGAATTATATACATTGTGTTGTGTTATCACGTAGGTTTACATTGTTTTTGTTGTATTCTAAATGTTTTAAAGCTTTAAAAATTTTGTTTCATGTATGCATTGTTTAAGTTTTTTACTTTGGTTCCTGTGTCAGTACAGTATATTTAATAATTGTCAAGCACTTTTGACAGTGTTTGGTTGTATGCACAAAATTTCACAGTCCAAATTCAGGAAAACCATTTACTCAGTACTTAAGTGCTTGTTACTGGGAATCCTCAAGGATGTTATCCTCAAGGATGTTATACTGGGCCTGAAATGGACAAATATAGCATCCTTTTAGACTTGTTTATTTGTAAAATTCCAGCCCTTTGGTGTAATACCGGTAATTCTCACTTGCAGTATTCTCCTCCCCACCCTGCCCTTTTTTTTTTTTAATTGAGTTCTGTTGATACGAAAAAGTTTTTATTTAAGTGAAAAATGTCTTCAGTTTTGGTGAACATTTCCTTTGCTAATAAAAGTCTTTAAACATCTTTATTGAAATACTTAAACTTTTTTTGAGGTATGGTTAATACTTGTTTATGATTCTATTATTTTGTAAACTTTAACTTTTATTTAAGAATTTAAGTAGAATTTTCTATTTTTTCTTTTAAATTCGTCTGCTACAATTGTTTATCTTGGTTCTGAAGCAAAACTGTTTGTATTAATATATGTGTAGTATGTGTTTTAAAGGTATGTAAGGGAATATGTGAGAGAAACAAAACAGTAAAGCTCTCCTATCTAGGATTGTTTAGATTTCATTGTGCCATCAGGCAGGGGATTAATCTTGATTGCTTCAAAGTTTCTTTTGCCCTTTGGGATATTTGGTTCAATAAAAGGTCCATGTAGCAAAATGGAAAACATTAAAAAGTTTTTCTTTTAAATTTTGTTTTGGAATAATTTTTGATGTAAGAGTTGCAAAGCAGAATTTCTATTGTAAACTATTTGCTGAAAACCCTTTGTGGACAACTTTTTATAACTTTCAGATAGTCAGAAACTACTTCAGCATTTTGCTATAAGATAAAAATGACATATTTCTTACCCAGATGTTTGTACTTGGCTCTATGTTTTTACTAACTGTCTTGACTGAAGCTTAGAAAAATGACCCTATCAGTTTTCCTCCTTCAGGCCAATGAAAGCTATAGATTATGGTTATTTTTTAACATTGGTTTTGACAGTGCTGAAGTTAGCATACAAAACTGATGTCTTGTTATATAATGCTGAAACAGGTTGGTTTGCTGTAGTTGTTAAAGATCAACTTTTTGTTGACATAGTTGAGTGGCTTGCATTGTATTTTAACTGTCTCCAGAAATCATAGAAGTAGCTTTAAAGTTTATGACA